AATCCCCCAGCCCCACCCTACGTGAAGCCCTGGGACTTAGGAGGACTCCCCGCCGCGGCCGGCTTTCCCGGAGACAGCGCACTGTCTCCGCTTCTCCCCGTTGCGCTCCCGGGCGCTCACCTGCAGCGTCAGCCCCAGGAGCGCGGCGCGGGCAGGCGCTGTAGATGTTTTGGGAGCGATTTTGCTGCGACCCGCGGGGCGGCTGGGAGCTCTCCAGGCCGCGCATCCTCACGGCCAGTCGACGGGCCCGCCTGGAGAGGGCTTCCCCGCAAAGCCGCAGGAAGAGGAAGGAAAATGGCATCAGAGGCCCGTGTCACCCTCCCCAAATGAAAGGCTGCCTCCTCCCCAGGGCTTGGCAGTGTGTGTCCTGGAGATGTTCCAAGCGTGCGAAATGTACGAGGCACCGCCTTGCCCTGCCCAGAAGACCAAAGGGCCCAGGCCACCCTCGTCCTCAGACCAGTGACCCCCACTTCCCTGCACCCCAGGCTGCTCATTGAAAGCTCCCTGAGTTTACCCTGGAGGTTCAAAAGGGGGTTCTGAACGCTCTGGGCTCTTTGGGCGGTTCAGCTCTCCCTACCCAAGCCTCCAGCCCAGCCGCTCACCTTTCCTCCTTTGAACAGCCCTTTTCACCATCAGCACCAGAAGTGCCAGCAGGAAAAGGCCCAGGACGGTCGGGATGAGGATGTGAAATCCTTGGCCTTCCCTCCCAGACTGTGAGCCATAGTCCAATGCTCTGGGGTGGGAAGGAAAGGGAGAGAGGCCGGTAGAGATTATTAAAGGAGGTAGGTTGAGGGCGCGCTCCTGTGTGGACAGCATTTTCGGAGAGGACTTACAGGTTTGTCCCTTTATTAACAGAATTCACTCCATCCCCCCGCTCAAAAAGACTTGCCTATGAAGCCACAAAACTCGAATTCAAATTCAGATTCTGCCTTTTACTGCCTGTGTGATCTTGAACGAGTCTCCTAACCTCTCTGAGACTTATCTCTCCATAAATGGGTATAGTAAAATGTATTTCGCAGAATTGCTATAAGGATGAAATAAGAGTGGATGTAAAGAATTTAACACACCTTCCAATGTTTCGCACCTCGGTTTCTTCACGAGATTATTGCAAATATTGACTGGGCTAGTTCCTTACAATGGTGAGGAAAAGGATGTTTTTCTCATAGTGCTCCTTCTGCCTGGAAGTTCTCCCTTCAATTTTCTCTGCATATTGAAATCTTACTTCTCTTAAAGGGACATTGTGTAAGTCCTCTTATGTTCCTAATTACAGTAAGCCAGAATCATTTGTGTGTGTGTGTGCTTTGGGTTTCTAATTCCTGTGTTCATGACTGTTTCAGACTTTATCACAGTCAGACTTATGTTAGTAAGACTTGGATGTTGCACAGTGTTATCTTTTCACATCTTCAGAACATAGCACAATGCCTGCCACATAGTACAGGGTAAGAAAATGCTGGTTGGAATTGATGTATTCTGTACTAACAGGAATCAGGAGTCCTGGTTCTATTGAACTAGAAATCAGGAGTCCTGATTCTCTTTGAAACCACTTGGCTCTCTTGGTCCCAGTTTCTCCTACCTATAGAACCCAAATGATTTTGGAGGTCCCCTCCACCTTTGTCTTTGCCTATGGAAAAACAATTTTGATTATTATAATTTTTTTTCCCCCTTTGGAGTCTGCTATAATACTGCCCCCTTGTGGTATATTGCAGTACTACCCTGGACTGAACCCCAGGCTTTAAACTGGAGCTGTCCAATAGATAAGTGAGTCACAGAGTAACGTGTAATATTAAATTTCCTAGTAGACACATTAAACAGTAAAAGGAATGGGTGAAAGCAATTTTAATATTACTAGTTTAATAGTTAATTCTATTTTTATTCTCATTAGTTCTTCCCCATCAAAATAGATTTGAATGATCAGAGTGACTGAAAGAGCTGGGTCTCCCTTCTTTCTACAGGATCAATGCTGGGCCATTGACAAGTGTATTCTTGTTAAAGGCACTAATGAGTTAATGGGTTATACTCATAGGTGGTATATTTCACAGTGGCCTAGAGACAAAGTCAAGGAGGGCCTCTAATAGTGGGCAATGCAGTGGATTTCTGTGGATCTCCTAATTCTAGCCTAACTCTAGATCCTGTACAGTGGTCTCTTACCTCTGCCTGTGCAGCCTGGTGTGGTGGTTGTAGCTGGCCGTCCGAGGCTTGAGCAGCACCCCTCGAGCTGAGATCTCTGAGGCTGTAGTGGATGGCAGGAGAGTTGGGGGCTTGTCAGCTACTATTGAAGATGCTCTGGACACTTGAGGACGGTGGATGATTTGGGTGGTGGGGGAGGGGTGGTGGACTGGAGGGACCTTGGTCCTTTGAGCTGGTGTGGTAACTGGAGGAGGTAGCAGGAAAAAGTGATATTCCTTTTATACACTCTGTTCTCTAACAGGATTAGGTCACCACCGCTTCCCACAACGTACCCTTCCCTTCTGTGCAGGCTACTATTGTTCTCGCATCCTCATGGGCTAAAATGCCTTCTTAACATGCCATCTAGACCTAGTCAATTCCAAGTATATTTTCTTCAAATACCATTTCTTCCAGGAAGCCTTCCCTGACTTCCAAGGTAGAACAGCTTACCCACCTCTGAGCAGGGAAAAACCATTTTTGTAGTCCTTTTCCCGCTCTGCCTCGTGCTGTATTTGTGTGCTAATCTGTTCTCCCCCATCTCACCCCTATCAGTCACAACCTTGCTGTATAATCTGTTCAGCCACACTATCCCTCTTGGCTCTCAGCAGGGCCACCTATTGTGTAATAATGTTCAATTAATGTGTCCACCTCACAGGCATATGGGATAATATGATGGAAATATTGCATGTCAAAATGCATTTAAAATGGGACGATGATATTGAAATGTAAAGGTATCATTAGTATGAACATCAACCTTTTAGTTGCAAAATAGAGCTAAAATCATAAGATGCCAGCAGGTAGAAGACAGCCCTGTGGGAAGCAGGAGACATGATGATCTCCTGCTGGGAAATGTCTGCCCAGTCTTTTTTCTGCAGTCATTCATAAAAGAGCTAAATTTTGCGAGTGGAGCACAAACGTCATTGCTTGTGGTGCCACCTGGTGGTAATATGTAAGTTCTGCAGCTAAGACCACGTGTCCTGGCTGTCCCACAGGCTTGAAGGATATGGACAGCAGATCTCAGGGAGGTAGGCACCCTCTCTAAAGGCAGGGAATATACACCTAAGACTTAGCTCAGCTCTGCCAGTCACTCTATGAACTTAACATAGACCCCCTACTCCATTTTCACACTGCCACAGTATCTCCCCCATCTCCCATTGCTACGGTGAACTGACCTCTGGGTACGGATTTCGAAGAGCCGGCGTGTGCAGTCATCTGGAACAATTGGAGCAGATGAAACCAATTTGGAGTCTCAGGCGCTAGCTGCTCTTTCCATAATGGCTCGTATTCTATTGGAGGGAAGAGGAATACGTTGGTGGTCTCTAGGGGGAGACTGAGGCTTGGGGAAGGGCCTGTTGGCCTAAGCTGAAGCTAATATAGTCAAAGTGGATGACAGTGAGGGGATGAGGGCAGGGGCCATAGAAAGGAGCAGAAGAAGAGCTGGGTTTGGGGCTTCCCTGGAGGAAATACATACTGGTTCCCCCAGCCCAGTCAACATTTCCTGCAAAATCGGCAGAGGTCTTCTAGGCTGTTGAATTAGTGCTGTGTATGTGTGGGGAACTCAGTGGAGGAAAGGGGAAAGGTGGGATTCCAG